ATTTTTGAGCTCTTTCGTTATTGTAATTGAAATTTTCGTGCTTTATATGCAGTTTTCATATTTTGTATAAATTTACCATATCATACCATATATTACATATTATACATTTAATTAAATAACTGAAGATTACAAAACTAATGGGTGAAAGAAGACCTCTGATAGAACTAAGCCGTGCATAATAGCGCCCATTGTAGCGTAATATGGAGGGCAAAGTCACGAGAATTCTAAGAAATTGCCATAGACACAATGTAAATGTAATGTCCATTGGAATGGACGCCAGGTCTGAAAGGGTTAAAACAGACGGCACACCACGCCAGAAAACCGTCTCACTTCGTTCTCCACAGAGCCTCGAGGATCTCCCGATGTGAAGGTCACACCGTAGTGAACCCGTAAAGGAAGGTGATTTTCCGACGAGTCGACGCGTCTTTCGAGAGAGCATGAAGCCTCGAAACGGAAGATTTATCGAGGCTTACACGATGGCGGGCACGAAGATGGAGAACTTCGAGAGGAAATGATTGAGGTCCTTGGGCCGATGTATCGTGAGGGCGTTCGTCAGGGCTTCCAGAGATCCGTTCCCCGGCATCGGTAACTCCTTCGTCCTTGAAACAAAAACATCCCGTCTCTCAGCAATTAATTATTTAAGTACTGTGACCTCGTACACGCGTTCTGCTATAGATGATCGTGCTCGCGTATACGCGTTTTTCGTATTTACTATTCGTATTTAATATTGCCATCACCTATACGCGACTGCTCCGAGAGGCAGTCGTCAGTGAGCTCACAGAGTTTATGTCTCACAGAGTTCCACACATTTTTTTACTCATGTTTGTCTATTTTCAGCAATATAACTTAGATCGAGGAGCACGGCCTACCGTATTTAATGCAGTCCTTGAAAAGTTGAAACGGAAAATCGCATCGACGAGACAAGACGTGCCTTTCCGATCGTGCCGCGGTCTCCGGTCGGGTGGTTCTTCGCATTTCGACGAAAGAGTGAAACCCATCTGAAGAGTCTCGCCTATCTGGACTCGGTCGAAACTTCGACTCGTGCCGATATTACATCGGGACGGGGGGGAATGAAACTTCTCGTAAAATAGACTCTACGCTCATGCGAGAAATCCAAAGAGCCATTGACGATGCAAAGGGCCCATTGAAACCACAGGACGAAAAGCGAACTCAGTGACCCCATATGAGGGGAAACAAGACCGCTCCGAGGGCCATCGAGCCATCTCTCAAATCGGACGATATGCTTTCTCGGGACCATAGACCTACCTCGTGTTTTTTTGCAACCATCGATCACGATCTTTTTTAAATTCGTGTCAGGATCCGTCAGCGGCCTATAGAGGCGTGATTCAGAACCACGGGAAAGGATTTCCGGCCCTTAACATTCGAAATAGAGGAGATAGCCGAGAAGTGTTTGCCTTTGAGAGTTCTTGTTTCATCCACTCTAAGTAGAAAAAAAAAACACTCAAAAGCTTATCATAGGAATGCATGCCTGCAAATAAGTGGCGTATACTCACTTGAGGAGTTCCCATATCGTGGTGTGCCTTATGGCTCCGTCCAAGTGGCAATGGAGTTCGACCTGAGGACAAAAAACCGGAAAAAGCTTTTCATAAATGTGGCAGACGGGGAATCTGCAATCGATCGGTCCTTGCAAGTACTTCGCACACGAAGAAAGCGCTACTGTGAATCGTCGTCCATAGAAGGAAGAAATCGTAGAATGCCGATACTCCACACGAGTAGTGGATATGAACACTGCGAATTCGGTCGCATTTGCACGCCGATCAGAGGCGCCGAACTCATGGGGGCAAAGGGGCACGTGCCCCCCAACCCAACAATGTTATGGGGGGGGGGGGGGGTGTGCCCCCAGAGAACATGGGAAACAAAGTGCTGTTTCATGAAATATGATTCACAAATATGATTTTCCTATCTGTTTAGGCACTCCCCTCCCCTCCCCCCGCCCCTCATCCGGTTGTCAAGCAGCTACCATAATAATGCTGAGCTACCCCACTGGATCCTGGAACGATTCCGTCTATGTTATTTCAGGGGCATTAGGACCTTGTCCCCCCAATATTTTTTAGAAATCGGCGCCTATGACGCTGACGACTTATTTTTGCACGAACGCAGAAGAAATTCGACGAAAGACATGGTGATCGTCCCCTATATCATCGTTCCGACATTTCGATCGGCTTTCGAGTTCACGATCGCGCGCGATCGCAGCCTAAATATACTACGATGAGTGTGAGAGCGTCGAGAACGAGTCGTAGCGACGAATGGGAATCCGGAACTCACCCTTCCTTTGGGGATGGATGCCTCTGAGGTCATTCTATTCCTGGGAATGGCAGCCATCGTCCGCTTCCTTCACTGCAAAATTTCTCCTGTCACCAATCGAGAAGATAGGAAGAGAATGTAACGGCGGGGGAACGCAGGCGTTTATCGCACGTAGACTGTCGTATACACAATGACGACGGAAGGCCACCCGCGCGCACGCATGTGTATGCATTCAATGGAAGGGATTGCCCTCGGCAGTGGCGCAATCCTTCAGCATCGTTATCGCACGCGGCTTTGTGTTTGGGCTGCGAGCGATTAGCGACGTGCCGTTACCTCTTTCCAAGCCCTTTTCTCCGACTTTCACGGTCCTCCCCTCGCTTCTTTCTTCAGGAACAGGAAATAGTTTTTCTTCGATTCCCTTGTCGCGTAAAGCCGCAACGTCTGCCTGCATGCTCGCTTTCCGTGCAGAGTCGACGTGGCTTTTTTAAAATCCTTTTTCTTTTGGAGTTTTTCCTTACGTCTGCGACTTCGTGCGAATCCGACAACGTGCTCGGGATCTTCGTAAAGGCTGCATTCGAGGGCAAAAGACCGAGGAAGCGTTAAGCATCATGGGTCCAAATGAAAAAGCTGTTGGCGGCACCATCAAGCACGCACGAGGCGGTCGACGAGGACGTCGCCCATGCAGCTTCGGGATGGCGAGGAGTGGAAAGCCTCTGGAGCCTCTCGATGGAAGTCGCACTTCGGAGGAATGAGGAGGATTTCTTCCGCTCTTACGAGCGTCTGAATGCAAGTGAGACCAGGAATGAGATTTTCCCACGTTAAACCTTCCGGTATTGGAGAGGATCGGATTCGTGAGAGAAGGGGGAGGCAATCCTAACCGGAAGAGGATGCAGAAATGATCGATCGGGATCGTTCCATGGTTCTCCCTACCTCTCCACTAGCCTCCTTTCTACCCCTTTTTCATTTTTCATCCGCGATAAAACCTGGAAATTCATTTCACAGGCCCTATTTCAAAATGCAAAGGGCAAGCAAGTAAATTGCAAGCCAAAAGAAATGTCCTTATTTTACTAATATTTCGAAGTGGATCGTGAACCTGGGTATGTGAGGACGGTCGCCCCCCTCCTCCCGTATCCGCCACTGATCGTACCTGAATACACGAAAACATTTGCTCGCGTAGCCTTTCGTTCTCGCTTTCGAAGGCATTTCCAGTAGCACGACAAACCATAAAATACAGTCTATTCTCGTTATACCTCCACTCGATATAGCGCCTCTTTCGCATATCGTCAATTTCTGCTTGACAAATTTCCCCTTACCCTGCTGAAAAGAAAATCCTGTATTATTGGGTTGGAAACAAAAAAGGCTTGCAACACAAAATTTCATAACTTTATTGAAATGCAATTTCAGTCTACAATGTAATTGAAATTTTCGTGC